TTAAGTCCGTCTTAAAACTAGTAAGCCAGTGTGTTATCCAGTGGACCATGCCGACCGTAACGAATCGCCCAACTAGGGGTATTTCTATACCCCAAACGAAGGTTATCATGAGGTCCACTGTGACCGAAAATACAGATTTTTTGCAGACGAATCCTGCACCAGCATGGCGGTAGCGTGCTCTGTCCGTCGATCTCTGAAAACCTTTGGGCAGATCTTATGAGGCCAGCATGGTACAGTGAATAACGCACTGGCCTGATAATTTTAGGCCTGGCTTGTCATGGGTTCCAACACTCTGTTCGGTGAGTTGTTTATAATCGTAATATCATTACGATTTCAGGAATAGTTCTTGTGAGATGATTATTGGGAAATGACTCTTTGATATCACTTATTTTCCTCTTACATACACCAAAGTTATCAGTTTGTATTTCCTTTGATACTGGATGCAACCAGAGTTTTGGTTAGTAATAATAACATCATTATTGTTTTTGTTTTGAAAATGATATGTGTGTGCAGTAAACGAATTTTTCTCATAAAAAAACCTCTTCTTGTCACTTTGTATGCATTCTGAGTATACAGTATCTTTGTTTATGTGTGTGTGTATGGAGAACAACAGAGCAAGTATACGGAGAGGGGAGTGCATCTCAGTACATTTACAAAAAAGGTTTCCTTTAATTTCCATTAATTCCTTTAATGAGTAGTGAACTGGATACAAAAAGATCATTAAGGCTGCATGCTTCAGCCTTAATGATCTATTTTGTGTAGTCAATAGGCTTTAACCTTCGTTACTCCAATAGACTACATTGTAACACTTAAATGTGATTACTGTGTCCTTGTTCAGCCATCTCATTTTCATGTTTATTTTGTCACTTTCTAGGCGACTCAGATCCAGAATTAAAATTTACGTTAAACAAATAACAGTAAAAAATTGATGCATTACTAGTTCAGTGTTTATTCATTATTCCTTCAGCAGTTTCTAGTGAATATATCTCATTAACTGAAAGGTTAGTTGATAAGTATGTTATATAGAAGCTCATGTCACAAGTATATCTGCATGACGTTCAACACTTATCTTATTTGCGTGATTTCCTTTTCTTGCCACGGCTGCACTTATGAACGAACGCATGGCCAACGCAAAAGACTGCTTATACATACCTGGATTATAATTGGAGAGGATTTCGCGGGGTCAACGCCCCCGTGGCTGGGTCTGCGACCAGGCCTCGTGGTGGATTAGGGTCTGATCAACCAGGCTGTTACTGCTGGCCGCACGCAAACTGATGTACGAACCACAGCCCGGTTGGTCAAGTACTGGCTATAGGTGCCTGTCCAGTGCCTTCTTGAAGACACCCAAGGGTCCCTTGGTATGTATGCTGGGAGGCAGTAGAACAGTCTTGGACACTTACTGTATTCGTGGCGTCCCTGCTTTTCGTTGGAAGAGTGTTACATCTTCTGCCAAGTCTTTTGCTTTCATAGGGAGTGATTTTCGTGTGCAATTTGGTACTAATCCCTCTAGGATTTTCTCGCCTGCGTTCCACGGAATACACATCAAAGGACTTCAACCGTTCCAGTAATTTAGGTGCCTTATCGTGCGTATGTGTACCGTGAAGTATCGAAAAAAAATAGAGGTAGTTAACACACTAATTCAATGGCGACGAGGAAATCTTGTGCCGGTGGGGGTAAGTTGAGTCCGTGATGAAGTTTCACATAATGGCTTGAGTGGTGGACACTTTGGTAAATAAGGACGTCAGCCCGATACTAAAGTAACTCCTTATTCCTTAGAAGTTTAGTCTAATAGGACGGCTAATTAATGTTGCTCCTGAGGTAACAGGCCTCACTGTGATCCCCTGTTTATGCATCTTCGGCAGACTGTAAGTTTATGTTGGTCTGGATATAAATGAGATTATGTGAAGAAATCTTTTTTTATTCACTGTTCAAATCCCTTAAGATCTCACCTCGAAGTAGCAAAGATATATTGACGATATTATAGTTATCTCCCCAAACGCCATAGCACACTGAATTTCCTCAACCACATCAGCTCTGGAATTTTCTATCAAGTTTAGCTATGAGGAAGAAAGGAGATTCCTTTCCTCTACGTGTTTATACGAAAAAAATGGCGATAAACTTGATTTCAATGTTTACCTTAATCTAACAAATAAAAATTACCAACATTATTACTTACATCACGACGACAGAACCAAGCATGGGATCATCATCGGATTTCTACTACTTCCTGCGTCTCTCGAGGAAAAATGTAGAGAAGAGGAAGAGTAGGAAGAGAGCCGAGAAAATGCTACGCAACTCTAGTTCTGGTGCTAAACCCATAGATATACTGGACTTCCTGTCAACCAAACTTTCACCAGCCTTCCCAATACCTTTCAGGTAAAAGCCCATATCAAGGTCACCAAAATTTCATCATAATCATAAAAGGCATTATCAAAAAGGAAAACCAATGAACATCTGTGCCAGCGTTGATACTATACAGTGTGAAGGTTATGACACTAGTAACGCATGCATTCTACTTCGAAACACAGAGAACCATCTGATGAATTTGGAAGAGGCAAGACTCATCATGAAAGATAGTGACCGTTGCAACAGATTAGTTTAAAATCTAGTAAATGTAATAGCCACAACCAATACTATTTCTCAAAACCCTGGATAGTTCACAATCTTTAATGTTTTATCGAGTTTCTTCCCTACAACTGACACTGCGATCGCCTAACTTCGTCTCCTAGCCTGGCTACTCAAAAGAAACCTCTTTTACCTATATTTTTTTATAACATAACGTCTCCCCGAACACTTTATACTTACGTCCTGTTATTGATAACAACCCTGGTGAACGAAACGACTTCGTCAATAAAATACCACAACCCGCATATTGTGTCTCAATTCCGAATGACTTTGTTGATAAAGGTGTGTATTTTCTTCACTGTAAACAATATCCAGACTAAGTATATGTGGGAGAAAGTGGTAGATGTCTGAACAAGCATGTGAATGACCTTGAGACATACTAGTAGTGTCGTCTCTCGATAACTGTAATTTCATAAAAAAGTGTATTGCTTAATTAAACTTAATTACATCGATTTCAAACTTTAACTAAATAATAAAATTAATAGATATAACGTTGATACATTCTCCTACAGAATCATCATGGCCGTGAGTAAGTCTGGACATCATGATGTAGAGGGTGCCAAGCCTAGCGTGGCTGCTGGTCCAGTCACCCTTACCTCCCTTGTCTCCAGGACCATCTCTGTCTGACTGGCTGCAGACATGCCCACCCTTCCCGACCACAGCTCTTCTCCTCACATCACACTGATAAGTATAGTACTGATAAGATTCAGTACTAGAAGAAAGGAGCTTCAATTAAGCGAAAGACTGTATGCATACATAATATGAGAGTTAAGCATGAAGACTTTTATTAAGAGTGAATACGTCTAGCACGATGTGCAAGGAAAATCGTAAGTCATTAGCCATCTGAGGAGTCAGCTGACAAATATTCTTTATCACTTACCTAGAGTGTGACATTGAAAATAATAATAAACAGGAAATTTGTACGAAAGGGCACATTTTAGGAGGCCAGATAAACTTACAAATATATGTATATATATATATATATATATATATATATATATATAAATATAAATATAAAATATATATATATATATAATATATATATATGCATATAAGAACGCAGAACATCGACACCATGCCCAACCCTTCTAGGGTAGTAGGGTAGGTGCCGGAGCCCGAGCTTTCAGCCCACAAGACCGTCATTCCCATTAGCCTCCTGTGGACGGGAATGGTAGACCAGAGAGGCCTAACTTCTCCCTACGATCCCCGTGAGGGCGGGGAATGTGGCTAGGCCTGGGGACAGTTGGTCCCGAAGATGAGGAGGTGCTTGTGCCTCCTCCCATGGGAGACTTAGGTCTCAGACACTCCCTAGACAGGGAGCCAAGGCCGGGCCACTACTTGGAAAAGGCCCGGGCCGGGAGAATACCGGCGAATCTTTAATAATAATAATAAGAAGAACGCATTTCTACCTGACAGTTTACGTCATTTGCAAGAAACAAGTTCGCCTCACATAGGTATACCTGGACTAATTTAGTGCCAAGAACTACATGTCAGAAACATCTTTATTATGGAAACCGAAGCCATAGCAACAATGAGAACACTAGCTTAAGACTCTCAAACCTAGCAGAAAGGCCCAACTCGTCCTATAAGTGAGTAAATTTAGTTGCCAAACTGATATAATACGACACCGGGCAAACTGCGGCTTGCGATAAGCTACTCCGTGCCGCTCTCCACACAATATTGGGATTCATTACCATTTTTCCTGAAATTTTATATTAATAATCTATAGTAGTATAGTATGTACCATTATCAGAATATATATTATAATATAATATATATATATATATATTATATATATATATATAATATATATAAATATATAAATATATTCTCGTCCGAATAATGTAAAACTGGTCAATTACCCAAACTCATTTAAAATTAATTTCTTTTTCTGAAATTTCTTTTAATCGTTTTAAAGATAATTTTTTTTCATTAAGTTAAGTAAAATAAAATTAATTTTGCACCAAAAGCAAGTTTAGAAAAGAAACTTCACCTCCCCCTTAATGTAGATTCTTTATTTTAGCCTACCCTTTTAAATCGCATTTACATCTTTACAAATTTAAATACTTAAATAACCACGGTGAAAATATCTTTTTCGGCTACTTTTACAGAAATAATTTGGCGATTTTGCATACACAATTGTTCACTTGTCCTATATAAAATCAGCTTTGCCTATTAACCAACATGCAACTCTGCCACATTGCACACATTCACCTGTATATTTTAAATATAAATAATTATATATATATATATATATATATATATATATATATATATATATATATATATATTTATTTTAATTATCACACCTGGCCGATTCCCACCTAGGCAGGGTGGCCCGAAAAAGAAAAACTTTCACCATCATTCACTCCATCACTGTCTTGCCAGAAGGGTGCTTTACACTTAGTTTTTAAACTGCAACATTAACACCCCTCCTTCAGAGTGCAGGCACTGTACTTCCCATCTCCAGGACTCAAGCCCGGGCCTGCCGGTTTCCCTGAACCCCTTCATAAATGTTACTTTGCTCACACTCCAACAGCACGTCAAGTATTAAAAACCATTTGTCTCCATTCACTCCTATCAAACACGCTCACGCATGCCTGCTGGAAGTCCAAGCCCCTCGCACACAAAACCTCCTTTACCCCCTCCCTCCAACCTTTCCTAGGCCGACCCCTACCCCGCCTTCCTTCCACTACAGACTGATACACTCTTGAAGTCATTCTGTTTCGCTCCATTCTCTCTATATGTCCGAACCACCTCAACAATCCTTCCTAAGCCCTCTGGACAACAGTTTTGGTAATCCCGCACCTCCTCCTAACTTCCAAACTACGAATTCTCTGCATTTTATTCACACAACACATTGCCCTCAGACATGACATCTCCACTGCCTCCAGCCTTCTCCTCGCTGCAACATTCATCACCCATGCTTCACACCCATATAAGAACGTTGGTAAAACTATACTCTCATACATTCCCCTCTTTGCCTCCAAGAACAAAGTTCTTTGTCTCCAGAGACTCCTAAGTGCACTACTCACCCTTTTCCCCTCATCAATTCTATGATTCACTTCATCTTTCATAGACCCATCCGCTGACACGTCCACTCCCAAATATCTGAATACATTCACATCCTCCATACTCTCTCCCTCCAATCTGATATCCAATCTTTCAGCACCTAATCTTTTTGTTATCCTCATAACCTTACTCTTTTCCTGTATTCACTTTTAAAATTCTTCTTTTTCATACCCTAAAAACTCCAATCTTTTTCCTTTTTAAAAACCCCAAACACATTCAAACGCAAAAAAACCCTTCACCCCCCTTTTGTTACTTCTTTAACTCACCCCCTTTAAACCTCCAACCTCTTAAAACCCCTCTTAAATCATTAAATCCCCCTACTAACATCCGCTAAGGGCCTCTTTTTTTTTAAAAATTTTTCCCCCTTTCCAAAAACTTAATTTTCCCCCTTTCCCCAAAAATTTACTCTTTAGTAACCTAAACCATAACCCAACATTCCCAATTCCCCCCCCCCCACCCGTCTTTCCCCTTTTTTAAAACCAAAAACCCATTTTTATTTTTAATAATTTTAAATATTTTATTTTTTAAATATTATTATATAATAAAATTTTATAAATATATAAAAATAAATTTTATAATATTATATAAAATATATTATATATATAAAATATATAATAAATAAATTTTTAAAATTTTTATTAATATATATATTATTTATTTAAAAATAATATATATATATATAATATATATATTATATATATATTATATAATTTTTTAAAATATTATATATAAATATATATATATATAATATTGATAATATTTTTAAATATTATAATAAAAAATTTTAAGGGAAAAATTTTTAAACCCCAAAATTTTTAAGGATGTTTGGGCCCTGCCTCGGGCCCCGGGTTTTGGGGGCCCCGGTTTTAAACCCTTTTTTTTTTTTTTAAAAAAGGAAAAAATAAATACTTTTTAAGGAAACAACTTTTTTAACGAAAATTTATTTTTTAATTTAAAATCCCAAATCCTAATAAAAAACCGAATCAATGAACCACTCCCCCGGGGAAAACAAAGATGGTAACAGAGTGTTTAAAATGTAACTTTTACATGGAGAAGGAAAAATACACTATCTATATTCTGCTCTGTATTTAGTGACTTGTACACTCGAGTGAGCGCAGCTGCGACTCACCAGCTTGTACGAGAATGTACAGCTGTTACTGACAGTGGCAGTGAGTTTTCTCTTGACACACATGCTGCTTCTGTTTGTAACTCATCATAGAAGCACTTTTCTACATTATCCGCGAGAATGACTGGTTACTGGCTGCAATCCTAAGGTAATTAGTGACCAACCAAGTACAGGAAACAGTAGAAGTAAGGTGAGTGAACCACCTTCTCTATCCAGCCTAATTCACTGATAGATATGCCAGATAGATCTCGAAACCCCCTCCTCCCTGCTGATGACTGTTTCTTCCTTATGACAGGGGAAACATAGCTAGCTTTTGTTCACACGGTGTAACTATCACATGGAATAGGGTAGCAGCACACTGCAGATGTATCCAATTACGTTAAAAGATGCTCCTATTTTCATATTTTTCTAAGAAATTTTGGCCGTTTTGCAATTATTACAATTTATTACACATAGGCTGGAAGTCATTTAATACAACCGCTTTCACTGCAATATAGTTTATATATTGATAAAGCCGGCCGTAAATAGGCTAATAATAACCTATATATATTATCTATCAAATATTATTTTAATTTAAGCCAAATATTTACATCTAATTAACTCACTAATGCAATAGAATCTTAAATGTTTTAAATAAATCTAGTCCAGTCAAACTATTTTTTTTAATATATATCACGGAAAATTATTTATAAGAAATATTATGTTACTTCGGACTCATCCATATAAAATCTGCATGTTATCAGTCTGCTCAGTAAGGCAGGATTATAGCTTACAGATGTACAATGCCGACAAGTTGATGAATAAGACATGAGCAGCACCTCCGTATCTTTACTGGTGAGAGATATCACCTACTCAGCAGGCTGATGTAACCACCGCTATTGCTTACTTTCACCTCATGTCTCTATATTAGACTGTAAAAGCCTGCTACGCAGGCTGAACGTCTCTTTATTAATGGTAGCCAGGTACTGCACTAGTGTCTTATTAACGCAGAACTTATCGTGAACGTCAATCTGTGTTCATTGGTCAGCAGTCGATCAACGCAAGAAGACATGATTAGCATTTCTGACAAGATAGTTACAAAGGGCTTAAAATTTTCCAGCATTAACTGAGCCACTCTTTCAAAAATATAACCCTTCCATGTTTCTCCCAGGCAACGTTTCCTCCCATTTTCCCCCATGGTTTCATTTCTTTTCCCAGCCTGACAACCCTTAATGAATTCTCCACCTTCCGTGGACCTTGCTGCGAACAGTCGACCAATCAGCATGCAGACCCAGATCACGTGACAGTAGCTACCATGTACCTTAGAGCAACCACATGACAAGTACACGTATTTTACATCTCTGCCTCTACCTCGGTTGATTACAAGTCTATATACATAAATGTAAAATAAATAAACACAAATAATTAAATACACACACACATTACATAT